TTCAAAGAGAAAAAGATTTTGTTTTGCTTGTCATTCTTTCCAAGAATCACAACAGAACGGTCAGTTCTCATGGAAATTCGCATTGAAACTGTATCACCTATACCCTTAATCATCAGATTCCTTGGCCGAACTTTCAGCAACCTTTGCGTTCCATTCAAAGGCAAAGTCCGGGATCGAACTGGTGTATTATTATTGCGTTTGTAAGTGACAGTAGAGATGTGAAGTGTAACGCCAGCAATGAAAAACGGGAAGAAACCGTCGACAAGGCCGAAAATAAACCCTCTCTCCAGTAGCAGCAAAGCGAAATAGCACTGATTTGTGGGCGGGCTCAATGGTGTTGGGCGGAGCCAATGCTGCATCCATCCTAGGGTCTTAGCGCCTCGACCTTGTCAAATCATCCCGAAAGCTGTGTGCCTGCTTTCCGCTTCCGTACCCCCAGAAATCCCAGACCTTGCCTTTAAAGTGATCCATTTTTGCCCTTCGCCTCTCTCTGGGTGTTGCATCACCCTTCCTGCTCGGAAGAAGGCAAACTATGCGTTTCTCCGAAGCGTATCAGCATGTTGATTTCTTGGCTTAGAGTCGTGTCGGTAAAGCCACATGGACTCGCTGTGGTGAGCGTGGTAAAGAATGTGCGAAATGATGTTTCTGCATGTGTTGTAGAAATCAACCGGCCTTCGTCCTGCTCTTCGATGTTCAGCGTTCATTGGTCGTTCGGTAACACGCACTTGACACACACTTCTTTCGGCCCATTCTGAACGGAGCGGATCCAGGCGATTTCGAAATGTCATCTACTGATCCTTCGCGACCCTTTGCTTTTTGGGTCTCATGACAACTCAAGTTCATTTCCGAGTTTGATGCAGAAGTAGTGGCTCCATTGTCAAAAATGGACTTGCTAGAATAAATTCCGAGTTTTTGCTGAGGTTTTGGCTATTTTATGTGATCTTATCTTCAAGCAGTATCGTTGATGTGCCCATATTACTGTCAAGGGTACTCTTCGATACCGTTTTGAAGCATGTGGTCACAATTTTTGGTCTGCCATTTTTGGTCTTTCTCGCGGATGTCGTCAATTCTGGTGTGGTCTGCACCGGCGTGTTTCTCGTTTATTGAAGGGGAGGGTATATGACATTATTAAAACCAATGTCATATTCGTGACCAGATTGCAGAATAATTTTCACCTGTAATTTCTAACAACTTCGGTGGCAAAGTTATTGTGCACTAATTGGCGCCAGCCGGGGCGAGCGATAAAGATGAATGTCATTGTATGTAGTTATTAGCACGGCGATATGTAAGTAAGCCCTACAGATCATTTAAGCTCTTTTCTGCAACTTGAAATTATGAATTCATTATTATTTCGCATTCTCTTTATCTCTTCACATTCTTTTGTGAAACCATCGTGATGCAAACGTCCACCAATGAGGATGGCGCTTTGAAGAACCTCTCGGTCACTCGCAGTTACCTTGATATTGTCCATAATTACGTGAACACTTTTCAGCTCATTCAGGAGATTGGCTAACTCTGCCATGATCGTTGCGCTACAATCCTTGGATAATGATCGTCTTCGCTCGTCCTGAAAAGCAAGGCATTTGTAACGTCTAAAGAAATGAAGCATTGTTGAAAACAGCTACGAAATTGGTAACCTTTTGTGCATTGTCTATTTTCTCGAACTGTTTGCATAGCCTGGATGTTTGAGATTCAATTGAGGCGAGTACTTCACAGCACTGCTCAATCTGAAAGGAAACACATATACTAATTCAGAAAACGAGAAGCTCGTCTTGTGCAGAACACACACTACAAGTGACGGTGGCCTCCGTAAATTCTGCCAATCAAATGAGTAGCCTGTTGCAGTTATATTTTATTGGTTGTCACTAATTATAGACTTCTATAATGATCAATTCATTATCAATTAACTGACGAGGGAAGGTCATCAGGGACGTGACGTGGCGTAAGTGGTAACGCTCCAGGCTTGTAGGCGAGAGGTCATGGGATCGGTCTCTCGTGGTGTTTGTTGTTTTGCCTTTTTGAAAACATGACCAGAAAGGCTTTTAGCGACAGTATCTCCTCAATGCCTGCCTTTACCTGCCTGTGTAAGGAGTTAGGCGAGCACCCCGTCGCAGGTTGAGAGCTATTATTTAATTAATATTTGCCATGACTGAAAACGACGCTCATAGCCCACTGATAAGGTGTTTTTGCGGTAAACGAGTATGATATTCGTGTTCAGGAGACCGAATTTTCCCTGGTTACAAGTTTCCAGCTGAATCTGAGATTTTGACCTACACTCGAGAAAGGGCAGTCAACATACAGTCAAACGAGAGAAGGTATGAATCGAAAACTAACTGGAAAAGCACCTTCCCTGAATTTTGATGCAGAGTCATGTAAATCATTTCCGTTATGCGGGAATGTGAGCCGTTGAACGTTTCTCTTTTCAAAATCTTGGTTGGAAGGAGCAATTTCCATGCAAAGAGTTCAACGATAGGTTGATGATATGATGGTTGACTCACCTCATTTTTTAGGGTTGGGTCAAAATCTCCCAGATTCTGTAAATTCGGTAGGAAACTTATTTCTAAGAGTAGTTTTGACTCTCCTGAACTATGCCATCTGTCTTCGCATCGCGAAGAAGCTTGACACGTGCATTACGGGCACCATGTTCATACATGGACGACTACTGCCCAAACCTGCAAGGAACTGCTCGAAATTTTTTCGTACAGGGAACTAACGGCAAAGTTGATAAATTAAGAAGTTAGAAGCTTTCTGGCTACATCTTCACGAAGCACAAAAGAAACAGACTCTCCGAGGAACCGTTCCCACGACCTCTTGCTCGCGAGTTCGGGGCACTGCCACTGCGCTTCCTTGCTTTATAACTCCGTTCACCAACCAGCGCGTTTCTAGCTTACTCGATCTTAAGACGAATGCCGTCGGTAATACACTTCACTTCGCACCAATGTCCGGACGCGACCTGATGACGGCTTGCCCTCGCTGCAGAAAATTGTAAGCTTTGTGAAAACTGAATAATAATCCTATTCCCAAATTTTGAGGGGGTTGCAGTTTTGTCCTTCTGCACGAAAGTCCTGTACCAGCGCGACAGTCGATATTGAAAGACAGTAAAAAAAATAGCTCACTGGGATTATTGTTGCTTTCGAAATTCCTTGCAAAAAAAAAAAAGAAAAAAAATGACGGTGGTAGGGGTCTCATCCAATTATAAGGGGGGGGGGGGCATTGTGATGCAACGTCAAGTGGCTGCCCTCACCCCCCACCCCCTAGACTGCCTTCACTCCCCCTGGCTCACGGGGTCCCGTACTTCGAGAAAACCTGTGCGCCAGGGGGAGTGTAGGCAGTCTAGGGGGGTGGGGGTGAGGGCAGCCACTTGATGCCCCCCCCTTACTGGATGAGATCTGGGTTGTAGGAGTTAGATATGAAGCAAGCCACAGACATCCTAGACAGATAGTCATGGGAGTCGCTAGATATATGGTCTTGGGAGTGAAAATTGAATTAACATTAAAAATAAAAGAGTTCCGGAAGTGACCAGCAGACTACCCAAAGAAAAAAAAAAACAGAACAGGATGAAGTCTCCGCCTCGTTTCGGGAATATCTCTTGTGTTTTTGCAGCTCTGCTAAAGCAGCTGCCGCTTTTTGCTCGCTGAGTTCTCTCTCCAAAATCATCATTCTTTTTCTCAGCTCTTCCTGAAAGTACTGCATTGCTACTATGATCTGGGATGTTGACATTTTGCTTATATGTATTAGGCGTTTCAAAAAGTTCTGTCGTTTTCTGACACTCTACTTTTTGATGATTCATTTTCCTTGAAATCCAGAAAAAATGCAATCGTTATGGAGATTGTTCCGAAGAGCTTTTCCTGCCCTGTCCAGAGCTCAGCTCAACTTTGCCCTATAAAATTTTCTTATAGCGTTTTCAAAGCTTTGTATGCGGTACGCTCGATGAGCAAATTGGCATGTTTCTCCTTCTAGCTTCAAATAGACCTAAAAGTAGCGGGAGGGACAGTCAAGATATTAACGATGCAGATGGCTAAGATTCGCACGGAGTATGCTTTGAAGCGTTTGTTCAAAAAGCTATTGTTAGAAAGCCAGAGCCTTGAGTATGATGAGAGAAGTGGTCAGATATCGGACATTGCTCTCGATTAGCCAAAGCTAGACGGCGCCGTCCCCACTTGGCGACGGACAAGCAATGGAGCGTCGTCGACCCTCGGCACCATCGCTTATCCGTCGCGTTGCCAA